TCCTCCCCCACAGCCCCCTGCAAGCTCCACTTGCCTCAAAGGATCCAGGAGGAAAAGCAATCCTGAGCCAAGCCCTCCCTGATTTAGTCTCAGGCCCCACCACTTACCCCTCACCCTCCCACTTCGGACGGGGTTTAGGGTTTGCTGCTCTTTTTGTAAGAAGCTCTTGCAGGCTGGAACTCTGCTGGCCTGCAGAGAGCACTTTGTAAAAGTGGAAAATCCATGGGTATCTCTGTTAAAATTAAAAATCTTCTTTTTTCTCTCTTTTAAAAGGGCAAATCTGCAGGTTTTACCTATTTTTCTTTGGGAAATGGAAAACCTGGCTCCCTTATAATGACAATAAAAATAAATTATTTTTAAATATATTTTATATTTATGAGTATAACATTAAAACCAGTATTTATTATATTTTTGGATGTTTTATATATTTATGTGATTTATGGATATTATATAAAGATATCAAAATAATTTAAATTTTTTAAATCTCTTCCTGCTTTTGTGATTGACATCTTTGCATGACTCCATAAAAGCTCATCTCTTAACACATGTTTCTGAAGATATAGCTTTGCCCTTGGTGCAGTGGGAAGCAATACATGCATCCATCTTTCATTGTCTGCAGAATTGAATGCAATAACAAGACTGTCCCCATGAAAAGGTGAGCAGGAACAACTTACCCCTGGCCCATTAACTGCACACCAGGGATGCTGCCATATATCTTGTTGCACACAGACTTTTTCTGTCTACAGTTCCTTTCATCAGAGTTGTCCCCACAGTCATTTTCTCCATTGCATTCCAACTTGTTGGCGATACAACGACCTGTTTCAGAGAAACAGTACATATACAAAGATTTTCCTTCAGAGGTAAAAAACTACAATTCTGGTCGATAATATGGGGAAAAATGTGAAGATGGCTAAAACTCCTAGGGACTGATCCTGCAGCCAGTCCTATAGAAATCCCTCACACAGAGTGGTTGTATAATTCAAATCAAAGGTATTTATAGGGAACAGGTGCATCTGGATGTCTTACTGGCCTAAAGATTTCTCTGCCTGCTGTATAGTGGATAGTAAGATTTCAAGTAGACCAGGCACTTGCTGGCTACACAGCAGGGTCATGGCAATAGGGGAATGCAAAGACTGCCTACACAGCCCTCCCCAGAGCTCTATGCATGGTCTACATATAGCTGAGAATTTTGGGTGTGGGATCTCCTTGGCATTCACTTTAGAGACATTTCCCCCATAGGAGAC